ATGGTTTTTTCTCTTTCTTTTTGTTTATTGAAAGTGTCTGTCTACATTGTTCTTTTATTAAGTCCCTGGCATCCACAGGGGGTCTTGGAAAGTATTCTCCCAAGGATAAAGGGGTCTTACATAACCTTAGCTAAGGCAGGGGATTCCAGCAAACACTTGTTTCAGGAATAATATCTTTTTTTAAAAAATCAGTGCTTTGCCAGATTATGCCATGCCTATGAAGTGCTTTTGAAGTTATCATCAGAAGAATAATTAATGGGTATTACATAAGAACTGAATCAAATTAGAGACCTCTGAAGAAAGAAAGCTAACACAGTATAAAGCAGGCACTTCGTCTTCTAAATAAAATGACAGCTCTACATCCTCCCCCCCCCCTTTCCCTCCTTAGATCTAAAGAAAATGTGGGGTGGGGATGAATGCCCTCCCTGGTTGGTGCTGAATCTCTGTAAAATCCATTTTTGTGCAGGGAGGAGTACAATGGACTGGATCCTTTTTTGCTTGCAGAGACCTTGCAAGATGAATTGTATAACAGAAACAGAGTTAAAGCCCTCCCTATTTTAGCCAAAAGTTTAAAGAAAAAGTGGGAGAGGTATGCCTATTTTCTAGGACTGAGCAATTGAATATGCCATTTTATTTATTTCTTTTTTGAGTTGCACTGTGGTCAGGGGTGACAAACATCATGAAAAAGCATGATAAAACTAATAATGAAAGTTAAGTATTTAAACAGTCCTTTAGAACATTATTTAAAAGTACAAGATAAAGAACAGAACAAAACAGCAAAGAAAAGTTAGTTGCCATGATTTCCACAGGACCAAAAGTGCAAGTCTGTGCATTGTCTTGTCATGCTGTAATAGATACTTTTCGACTTGTTCAATGTAAGTATATGGACAAGATGCTTGGAACACAGGAGTTTATCAAATAGGCAGGATCCCATGCAAAAACGGAATTTAAACTGAAAAAATATACCGCAAAAGTGGATTGTTTTTCAGAAGACGTGTAAGATTAATCCACACAGAAAGTGGAAAAAACCCGCAAAAGTGGGTTGATTTTCAGATGATGTTGGGGG